GAGCAATCGCCTGAGTTCATAAGCAAGAAGTATCCTAATCATTGTTACATCCTAGACAAAGCAGTTTATGGTCTAAAGCAAGCTCCAAGAGCCTGGTATGAAACTCTTAATAGTTTCTTAAAACGTCTAAATTTAAACAAGGTTCCGTTGACCCAACCTTCTTTCGCAAGAAATACGGTGACCAATTAATGATCGTCCAAATTTATGCTGATGAAATTATGTTCGGTTCAACTAATCCCAGCTTAATAGCTGACTTTCGAAAGCTAATGGAAACAAAACTTGAGATGAGTTCAGTGGGTCCAATTAACTTTTTCCTAGGATTAAACATAAGACAGAGCCAGGAAGGTATTTTTATAAATCAGGAGGCATACACGAAGACCTTTCTCACTAAGTTTGGGATGGTAGGAGACTCAAAAAGTGAAGGTACCAATGGCATTCAGAACGAAACTCACTCCATCTTTAGACAAACTGGCTGCAGACATGACACTCTATCATCAAATGATAGGTTCTTTAATGTACTTAACTGCTAGTTGTCCACATATTATGTTTTCTATTTGTTATTGTGCTAGGTTCCAAGAGAATCATCGAGAACCACACATTGTTGGGGTCAAGAACATATTCTGGTACTTAAAACAAACATCTTTACTTGGAATATGGTATCCATTGAAGTCTGGTTTCTTTGTACAAGCATTTTCGGATGTTGATATTGGAGGATGTGGGTTGGATAGAAAGAGTATGACTGGAGGATGTCAGTTCTTGGATGGCAAGGTTGTAAGTTGGCAATCCAAATAGCAAACTTGCGTATCTTTGTCCATAGCTAAAGCTGAGTACATTGCTGTTGCCTCATGTACTTCACAGGTCATATGGATTCAAAGTGAACTGCATGACTATGGCCTAAACATGAAACGAATTCCACTACACTATGACTCTGAAAGAGCCATTTGTATTTGTCACAAACCCAGTGCAACACTCAAAGACAAAACACATCGCACAGAGGTATCACTTAATCAATGATCATGTGGAAGATGACAATGTTGAGATACATTTTGTATGATCCATTGAGCAGTTAGCTGACATATTCACAAAAGCCTTACTAGAAACGACCTTCAATAGAATACTTCAAGGCCTAGGGATGATGGAAGCTGAGTTTTCTCCAAAACCACTTTCCCATTCATAATGTTGTCACTGCGAATTGCTGCGAACGGTCGCAGTGATTCATAGTCTACTTTAACACTGTGAATCGGTGCGAACGCTCACAGTGGTTCGTAGTCAACTGTTCATTCATGGTTCGGATCCTCATATATCCTTTTGTATTGTATGTACATTATTGTGTTTACTTGTTTCATTTCTATTTTCTTTCTATTTTTATTTCTTTTTCAGAAAAGATATACACAAATATTTTTCTTTGAGTTTTATTTTATTTTCCTTTGTTTCTTAAAATTATAAAATACCAAAAATATTAGATCATTGAGAAGCTCGTAAAGTCACACATTCATAGTCATTCTCAGTTCATAAGATGGGGTAGGTATAAGTTTCTTTACCTTTGTATTAGCTAAGTGTCCCTAGAAGCATGTTGATGCATGTTGTCTAAAGCCTTAAACGATTCTATGTGAAGCCTTAATGAAGCGATCGTACAAATTGTTTCTTCCCAATCAGGCTGTTAAATTCACTTTAGTCATGAGCTACCTTAATCTTCTCATCTTGAGTTAAGAGTTATCTGCTTGGTCACTTTAGCATAGCAGAGGTACATTCACTTTTTTGGAACCACCTTCACGTTTCTCCATTACCTTTACACTCATGAATGTAACCCTTGAGACTCTCAGCTATTACCACTGAGGTTTATGGTTACACAACATCTGTGTTAATGATCTTGGTTTCATACAACCACAAGCTGAGTTAAACCCAAAATCCAACACACTTTAATGAATTGACGGTGAACATTTAAACGTTCAAGGTTTTCACCAAGGAATTAATGATAACCACTTCCGTGGTCTATACCAAGAAATCTATTTTCTTTTGCGAGATCTTTATGAAGTGTTCTTGTCCCAAGACATATCTTACCATAAGACCCATTTTTTTTTTTTGAGATTTCTAAATTTAATCCTATCACCAAAATAATTCCATACCTACACGTTCAACTGACTACACTGGTCACACGGGTACTTCATCCGAACGCTCATACTTATCTCAAGTTTTGGTGTTTGGTTGAAGATAAAGCCACCCCGTAAGCCTAATAAAAATATGCCTTTTAGTGTTTCTTAATAAACAACTTATCGTATTTCAACGGGAAACCACACAGATACTTCTTAGTCTCTCTTGACTTCGAAGGAAGAGATCTATGGTGGGGATCCACAGTTTCATGTCTTTTTAGACATCACTAGAATCCCTTAGACCTATTGCTTTATTTATGTTTCTTTGGCATACTCTTGCACGAAGATCCTAGTGATCTTTCCAAAGTCTGGTTCGTGGTTCTCATGGTTCATCTTAGTTTCGCAGGGCTATAACACGGTCTCACTACAAAAGGAGATGGTTCTCTATGAATGTCTTATCTAACCAATTACAGCGAATGAGTATAAGCTGATGCGATAATTTCTCTGGATAGAATTTCAATTGGGCGCATGAATTTTTGAACGGACGTTTACTTTTCTGCCGTATGACGCACGCTTCTGACATAACAGTTGTCAAATTGCACTTTTGCAGGCGATCTTTCAGTTCCCAAGGCAATCTCTCTCTGGATTTCTCTCACCAAATAAATGGTATAAAAGGGTTTTGGCGCTTCATCCCACATTACCATTCATACCATCCTCAAAGATTTCCGGCAGTCAAAGCCTTTACTATTCATATTTTTCCCGAAGATATCAACGATGGCGGGTTCTTCTGAAACTCCCTCATTTCAAGATCAAACATCGTAGTCTTCACTCCTTTCCATTAAGAAAAATCAGAATCTGGTGATCGATCTCGATCTGTGCCAATATGATAGCTACATGCTTCCTATTGTCGAATGCCTCAAATACTCTCCATTGACTGTTTCACTCACCAAGATGGAAAACATCCTGATGTCACACTTATGCAAAGCCTATTCTTCTGCAAGTTTTCTCAAAGAAGAATAGAGGATTACGTTTGAGATCCTCAATCACAAAACCTCCATCTTCAAATCACGATTCTATTTTGTTCTAGGGATTCCTCAATCAGACGACATGATTAACCCTAGATGTGTGTCCAATACTACCTTATTGGAGATGTTTTACCAAATGAGGTATAAAGAAACCCTACCCACCATCTCCAAGTTCGGGAAACCAAATCTGCCACCATAATGGAATGGACTCTTCACGCTGCTGTTAAAGGCCTTTTCTAATAGAGTTACTGGATCTGATTGTGCCAGCAAGTTATTCATGGCGATTCCTTTTGGCATCTACACAGATATAAATATTGATTTGGAGCAGTTTTATGGGCTCAATTTATTTAGAGCACCCATTCATCAACACGGCACAGTGAAGTCTCCTGGGCATATTTCTGGACCATCATTGTCCAGAGGGCCATTGAGAAACTTCAAATTCCGGTGATGCAAGATGCGATGATGGACTCTATTTCATTTTTTTCACACCACGGGGATTATTGTTGTCGATACTTCTAAGTTCTCCTTTTTTGGTTCAATACCGGAGACAATGTTTCGGGATGTGCCAATGGCCAACAGGATTTTGGAGGGATACCGGAAAATTCCTGTGACATTTCGTCCTTTGACTATGGAAATGCAAGTGATCATCTCTGAAGAAGATAAAGCCAAGAAGGGGGGGTGGGGGGGGGGGTAAAAAGGTGGGAATAAAAAGGGAAAGAAAACAGAGGGGAAAGAGGGGCCATCCCCTCCAACTCAAACTCCTAAGAAAAGGAAAGGTCAGACCGAACCTCCTGCACCAAAAAGGCAAAAGTACAAAAATCCAGCTCGCAAGACCAAGTCCCCAACTCCATCTGAAAGCGAACATTCGCATTTTGACACTCAGTTAGATATTCCTAATGAGGAAGAAGAACATGTTCACAACAAGGAGGAAGAGCCTGTTCACAATGAAGATGTCACATCTAATCTTGAGGTAACTCCTACTTACAACGATTTCTTTCCATCTCCTCCTCCTGCGCCCAAAACCACAACCACTACCACAATAATTACTATTGCACCGTTCCCCCCACCTGTCTCCTCTCAAACACAAAGCACTATTCCTATATCTACTCCTTTATTTACTGATTCCATAGCTCCACCAACAACATCAGCCACACCTCCTGTTTCTTTCAATGCATCTGATGTGCGGGCAGGGGCATCAGGTTTCACATCTACTCATATCTCACCACCCATTTCCCCACTTTGTGAAAATAACTCGGATATGATTTATGGGGATGGTGAAGATGACTTCGTAGGATTCACCTTCAGTCCATTCACTATCAGGAATGAGAGTGATGACGAAGCTCCAGTAACGAGGGGGCAACTTAAGGAAATCCATGAAAAACTTGACTCGTTTATTCAAGCTTCAAAGCCTTTGTCCACTGATGAATATTATTAGGCTACGATCAAGTCCCTTCTCAAGACTCTCACCAAGAAACATTCAACGAATCTTGAGAAGATGAACAAGGAAGTGGATGATTCGACTACTGTCTGCAAAAAAACAACCGAAAAAGTCGATAAACTAATTTTTGATGCCACAGAGTTCATGAACAATTTTCAAACATCATTTGAGTCGAACACTGCTAAATCCAATGAAGCAATCTCCAATCTTGGTTCCTCTCTCAAAGATGAAAGGAAAAAACTCCAAAAAATTCGCACTGGCATTACTTTTGATCATGAAGAGTTCAAATCCTCCATTTCCTCTCAAATTTCCAAGCTTCAAGAAGATCTTGCCATGGAGAGTAAGATAATAGACTCCCTCGCTATCTAGACTGAGAAAGTTAAAGTTCTATCTATCAAACTAGAACTGTCTAAGAAACAAGTCAAGGATTTGTTATCTAAGAGGGCAATGATGAAAAATTGTGTCACAGACATTACTAGCTTACTCTCGGATATCATTGAGACTAGGGACTCAATGATCACTATTACAGTTAAAAAACATCTAGCTAAAAAGCTCATACTAGTATTCGTAATGCTTCATCAATTACAAGGTGTTCCGGATGCCAACAACATTCCAAAACAAGGTGGAGATCAACCAAAGAAGCCAATTGCCAAGCCAAAGCCAATTGTTAAAAGCGAATATGAGCCTAAAGGCAAAGAAAAGCTTTTCTCTGAAGATCCAATCATTGATAATAGTGAAGAAGAAGAGCTAGATGAAGAATAACTCAAAAGGTGAAAGGCTCGTGAAGCCGAGTTAAATGAAAATTAGAGAACCGATCGAGAGGATGAAGCCAAGGAGAAGGCAGAAAGAGAAGCTCAGGTCACACTTGAAAGCAGAAAACTCTTACTTCCTGTGTGAACGATGCAATGAATTCAGAGTGAAGTTGTTGATCCTCCGAATCAATATTAGTTAGAAGCGGTTGTGTCATTCGAACTTCAGAATATTCAAGACTCACAACTGGATCTTCTAATAACTCCGAAGGTATTCAAGTTTCTCTCTTTTGTCAAAATTGTGAACGTCCCTTCTATTGAGAATGGTGTTGATCATATAATCTTCCCATTCTATCTCAAGAACATGAGGCCACAGTATGATGCATGAAGTGCTAGCAAGATAATGGCAATGAAGGTCACTGGACCAATTGAGACTAACGGTTTTCCAAATCCAAAATTCAAAGTTGTCATAGGTTTTGCGAATCAAGTTCACGAGTTCACTGTTGCATACTTACCGTGTATCAATCCATATTACTGGATCATGCTCTACAACCTGTTGATGAGAGAAGAGCAGAAGTACGAGCCTGTTATCATTCACCTCAAACTCATGATCATTTCATATATTCAAGAGGTAGGTAATATGGACATCGAAATAGTTTTCGTATTGTGAAGGAAGCCTTCTTCTATTCCAAAAGAATCTCCGGAAGGGTTTGAGAAGTTAAAGCTTAGAAAAATTTACAAAGAAAGCTGATATGTGGTATTTCAAGAGAAGGAACGAAACAAAGCTGGTTTTTGTAAAGCATGTTTCTTCCTTCCAGATAAACATTTGTACACTACTTCTTGTCTTGAATTTATCATGGATCTTGTCAAAAAATGCAAGGCCAACAGCGAAGGTGACAAAAAGTACTTCTCGACCATGATTCGGTGATATGTCCGGGTTCACAAGGTACTCTTAAGCTTAATGCCAAAAGTGTTTCAAGTACAAAAGAGAATCTTGCCCTGATGGAAACTCGCTCTATTTACGCAAAGGGGGTGATTGTTAGGATTATTACGTTGCGTCAATGGGTCATTTTTTTTGTTTATATTGTACATGGGTTAGGCCTGTCCACCCGTCTTTTTTTTATTAGGGCTATAGTATTTAAGGTGCATGCATGCATCATATTTTGGAAACTTTGGAATATTATTGTAACCCTAATCACACCTCTACAATAGCAATTCTTCATCGAGTTCTTCTAAGGCAGTGACATTTGAGTCATTAAGCATACTTTGATTCTTCCATTTTGTTCTTATTTCCTTTACTATTTAGAATCTAATCAATCTTCAAGTCATTAAGCATACTTTGATTCTTCCATTTTGTTCTTAACATCTTGTCTACTGAAGGGTAGAGCTCGAGATTGTGGGAGGAGGTAAACTATCCTTTGGGAGGTGAAGCAGTTGAGATGATGTATTGGGAGTATTTAGTAACAAGGTTCAGAGCGGAGTTTGCACTGACCATTGAGGTGCAACAGTTGGCGAGAGAGTTTTAGGACCTTCACCAGACAACGAAGACTGTAGCGAAGATCACCACCAAAGTCAGGGAGAGTGGTTTGGTAGTTCTACAGTACGTTGTAGATGAGGAGATGAATAATACAAGGTATCATGATGTTACACTCGAGTCCTGGTAAGTTTCCTTTCTAACCCCTTTAAATTGTATTTTTTGCACTTTGGACCTTACATGGGGAGTACCTAGATGGTACGTTGGGCGTATGTGGTTAAAGGTGAAACAACAATGTTTTAGGAGTACATTGGGGGGTTTTTTAGTGTTAAGAACTTTATGACCACACAAGATCATAAAGTTGGAAACTTTATGGTCAAGGACGACATTTTGGGATTAGATCTGGTTTTGAATGAAAAGTCTTCATGCATTAAGCACTTAATGAGAATGTTGGATGATCAGGTACGTACGTTGGGCGTACCAAATGGTACGTTGCACATATGCGGTCCATGTCCCGACTTATGTTATGATTACATGTGTTTTGCTGGTTATTATTTATCTATTTGTATATGTTGACATATTGTGTTTGGATTGAGGCGGTCCTTGTAACATCCCAAAATTTACGACCGAAATTTTCATTTTAAATATAATAATTATAAAACCATTTATCTGAAAACAACCATAGTATCAACTCATATCAAAACCAAAGTATCAATAGTCAAAACATGTCATGATAAAACAACATCAGAGTATAAATCCCGAAGATCTCTTGTGCGGAAAATTAGTGTCATACGTTGCGATCACGCTGGCTCCTTTCCCTTTGAAGAGGAAGTACCTGAAACCAAAACTAAAAATCATAAGCACAAAGAAAAGTGAGATCCCCCATCATACCACATACCATACAATAACATACTGCCTAGTATATTTGGGTGTTGGCCTATCCCTTCGGTCTTTTTCAACAGGTAACTGCCTAACATATCAGGATGCTGACCTACCCCTTTGGTCTCTTTCAACTAGTAACTGCCTAGCATATCAGGATGCTGGCCTACCCCTTTCGGTCTCTTTCAACCGGTAACTGCCTAGCATATATGGGTGTTGGCCTACCCCTTCGGTCTCTTTCAATCGGTAAGGGGGATTATTTCAACCCTATCACTACCACATATCATCCTAGTACATAAACACATAATCCACATACTACCTAGCATATATGGATGATGGTCTACCCTTCGGTCCTTATGACCGATAACGAGATCTATCCTACCCCTCCTACCACTATCACATAATATCATAGCATACTAGCAGATAAAGTATAACAGATAGTGGAATACTAGACAATTATCACAAAGATAATTATCTCAACTATAATTAACTAGTAGTAGGCTGGCATTGGTGCCTTCGACCCACTTCTATTGGAAAGTAACTCACCTCGGAAGGCTGAATGCAGAATCTCATGGTAAGGAATCTCTAATGGTTGCTCCAACAACTCCCCGACTATCATTATCACAATAACACTTAGTAAAAATCCAATAATCCTTCTTAGGGTAGAAATGATCATTTTACCTCCTCGTCTAACTTGAACCATATCCTAGGCCCATTTCCTTCCAATCTTTCCAAGCCCACTAATGGCCCAATTTTTTAAATTGGACCCAACTCCTCAAATGAGCCATCCCCCAAGCCCAAAGATGACCTTAGCCCAATAACTACCTCTTGATGGCCCACTAAGGCCCAAAAGTAAAGAAGTCCAAAGATTGGCCCAAACCAAGGCCCAAATGATGTGAAGCCCAAATCAGTGAGTACGCAGGGCGTACTCCTTTGTACGCTAAACGTACAAGCTTCATGGCTTGTACACTCCACGTATTGGCTTGTACGCGCATTGTACTACCCTGCTAAGCCATATTCCTCAAAAGTGCTTAATCCCTTAAGATCTTAAGCCTAAAATAGATATTTGAGTCCATTAGCATGTCTTAACTCATAAATTCGATTACTTGGTGGCTCGCAACCCACCAAATGGACCCAAATTGCAATATAGCAAATAACTTCCATGGAAATGACTAGAACTCATGTACGGTCACAAAAGGACCTTAAAGATCGAAACTTTACTGTTATTGGGACACATTTAGCACTAATGGTGGCAACCGTAAGCCTAGAAATAGATTGTACTCATAAAAATCCATTCTTAGGCCCAAAAGGTCCAAAACTCCATTAACATAAATCTAAACATTCATGAGGTAGTTTGAAAGCTTTTTACCTTATATGAGTGCCAAAAGGTGATGTTATCTCGGATCCTTGAGCCCAAGCTACTCAAGTTCCTCTTCTTCAACTTCTTCCTTCTTCTTTCAAGCTTCTAAACGCCACAATTAACTTCACAAGGCCAAAAACACACAAGAATGAGGAATGAGAGGCTATCTAGGGTTTCTGAGGTTGAGAGGCTGGTAAGGAGGCTAGGGTTTAAATCATAATGTTGTATTTATATGGCTTAAACCCTAAAAATTAGGATTTTAAGTCTACTTGCATATGTTGCGCGTACACCTTTGTACGCTCCGCATACGCACCTCCGCCCCCCGTATCCAATGTTGTACTACGCCCCGCGTACGCCAAGCTTATGCCCAACATACGGCTTCGGGTAGCCCAACCCTATCGGCTCACTTGCTAAAGCCCACTCAATAATCCGTTTATTTATTTCATAGCCCAACAATTAATTACAAAGATTTTAAATAATTATTACCTCAAGTGACGCATGTTACAGTCCTGCTTTATGTTGTAGGATAAGATACTCTGGCGGTCCAGATGTATTGTAGGCCTTGGAGGCGGTCCATTCAGACTATAGGCCCAAGGGAGCAGTCCAACTATATGTTGTGCGATTAGGAGAGAGGTTCATATGTATTGTAGATCTTGCGAGGTGGTCCAGTCAGACTGAAGCCTCATGTATGTATTCATTGTATGTGTATTGTTGTGTAGGGGTATTTTGGGGGAACTCACTAAGATTTGGCTTATATTTGTTGATTTAAATATTTTAGGTACCTCAGATGACAGGGGAAAGGAGAAGACGTAATTATACACATCATCCAATAGTTCTATGTTTTGAGAGATACTCTGATATTATTACTTTGATTTTGGCATGGTTGTAAAACAATGTTTTCGTGACTTATGATTTATATGAAAATGCCTTTTAAAAATAAAAAAATTTACTATCGTTTTTGGGACGTTACATGGTGAGAAAATGAGTTTTTTTAAAAAGTGTTTGGATTCTATTTTGTGGTGGCGAAAGTCAATAAGTTGTTTTTAAAAAATGTATATCTTAAATTATATATGTTTTAAGGGGTATTTGACTTTTACAACCCAAAAAATGTTGTATTGGGTGTCTAAGCCCATAACTATAATTAGTATGCACTTAATTTGATTGTAGCATGGTCCTTTTGGATTGCCTTCACCATAGCAACAAGACATGATGAGTTTTGGAGTAAGAAATGAATGGTTTATTGATACATTATAAGAATAATATATTAATTGGTAATCATATTATTTAATTAGTATAGATC